TGTTATGAAGTTGAAGCCGGAATGCGGGTGTCAAGCGTCCTTCTGATGCCTCTCAAGAGACCGGAAGACGGTACAGTTGCAGTCACATTTGGGAGTTGAACATGCAAGAAGGCAGTTCCCGCCGCCAGCCTTAAGCTCTTGCGTACCACGATGCTATCCACTGAAACCCCGAACCTTGTACGTCGCTGCTGGTGCGATAGAGAAGCAATATCTCATCCTGTGCCGGTGGTTTTCGTGCAACCCTCTGAAGCTTCAAGCAAAGCCCATCAGCCGAAGCCCATCCAACATGCTTGTCATCGGGCCTTTGACAGATCTTCCCAGGATCAATATCCACTCTGGCATGTTGTTGCTGAGCCTCCGTCCTATTACCCGGTCCCAGTGGTCGTCTTCCGCAATCGAGACTGTTCGAGCTGTGGAGTTCCGGTGAAGCCTTTGTGTTGCTTACTGTTGTCTTCCGATCAAGGCTTACGCGGCATAGGCTAATCGGTCAAGTGAGCCGTTGAGATCTCGATCGGACTACTCTCAGCTTCGAACAGTGTCCGCCACTTCCGGGTGTGTATGCGCAAGGTGCGCAGTAAGCCGAGACCTAGCTTGAAGAACCAATGATCCTCTGTTCTGGTAGAGCATCGTGCGATCTAAGATAGGCGTTCAGTCAGCTGTCGTTCTCAGGCATCACGAGCTCAAGGTTCGGAGAGTTGCCTACCCAGCTGACTGGAAACGACATCGAGGTTCACGCGGCAGATCGCGGGTTGGTTGTGTAGTCGACGCGCTCGCGGAAAGATCACCCGGTCACTCCCTCACCCTGTATCCCATTGCGCCTTCAGATCCGAGTATCGTTTCTGGGTCATCGCTCGTAGTCACTGAGTCACGCCAGCTGTGATAATGACGGTGACGGATGTGTAACGTGCGGCTTCTGTGGACTGGCGATGTTGCTTGTTGTTGTTGTTGTTGTGACCATTTCACCTTCGACGGGAGAAATTTCGGCCAGTTGAGCGGAGTTCAGTGGAATCCCATCACGCTCCGTGACACCGAATCCGAAGGGTTTGATTTGTCAGAATAGATTGGTTGGAAGGATTCGCTCCCATGTTGTTCGTCCCTAAATCCCCGGAGGTCCTTGCATCGGTTTTTGAGATCCATCGGCACAAACGGGGTTAGCTCTTCACCCGCTTTGCATTCGATTTCTGCAGCTTCACGTAAACTCATGCTTTGCTCTCGTTAGCAATTGGTATCAAGTATCGAAACTAACACGGGGCTCTCGTTGAGTGAGGCCGAAAAGGGGTTCCTGGCGAAGTACACACCGGGTTTTCAATTCAGCGGATGGAGCACCTAGCCCATCTCGGTTTCGGGCAACCTGCATGGTTCTCCCGAGTGTTGCCAAGCCAAGGAGGGGATACATGTTGTTAGCCTCAATATTAAGCTATCATGGGAGAGGTCCTGCGTCATGCGCAGGCAAATGGGCAATTCTCTCCATCTGACCCCAAAGACCGATATGGCTGACCCATGTGTCCGCAGAAATACCGAGAGACTGTTCACATAGAAGATTATAGAGAATGGGCAATCCTATTTCGCGGGACGCACGTATTTTGCGACTAATATCAGCATCGACTTGCCTGACCATAACATTAGCAATTGTCTTGTTTGGTTAACATGAATGCAAAGGCATCGCCTATGCTTTTGACTGCCAGCGGAGTACAGTACTTAAAATCCCAGGTTTACTTTGATTCCGTTCAGCTAAGACATTCGCTATTCGTCAGGAAAATGCTGATCTTTCTGAAGATCACCTGTTTGGATAACCCCGTACCTCTTGTGCTGTAGTCTACTAGCAATCGATAAGATAGAACGTCCCGTCGTTACCAGAAGACACTTTTCCCGCTATGTGATTGATCTGGAGCTGCCGTTCATATCCATTGTTCAGCAAGTTCTTTCTTGATGCGGCATAAACATGCAGGCGAAGTGAGGGGCACAATTCCCGTGTGATCCGTGGTAGAGAAAGTACCCAACACGTGGGGTCCTGTCATCTTTCTAAAGTCCGAGAATACGTCCGTGAAGTGAAGCATGCGGTTGTCAGCGACAATTGCAGTGAGCAGCGCACGCGTTGCTCCGTGTCTTTGTTGTCATCGCACGAAGTCGGGCAGCTAATGAACTACGCTCGGGGCGGAGCGGCGCAATTAGTATGTAAACGGAGCGGAGCCCTCCGCAGCGTGTCTCGGCTTCCGCCAAGCGTTCCGGCACCGGTAAGCTGGAGGCACCGAAAGCGAGCCCGAAAGCGAATTGCGAAACAAACCAGCCCCGGCAGCCTTAGCCTCAGTCCAATACCAGCCTCAACCAGCTCTCTAACTGCATAAAGTCAGCAGATCGCTGTGGCGAGCGGCGGCGAGCCTTGCTAATGCGTTGCCGGTGTGCTACTACCGGCAGCGGCAGTTAAGCTTGGCGGACGCTAGTACTGGGCTTAGCACAAAGAACAACGACTCGAGGGGACCACAAGGCGATGTGAGTGGCTGGATGGAGTCACAGGTTGACGACGCCTTCTCGCCAGCCGGGGTCGCGGTCCTAATGAAAGGGCGAAAGGGTAGGGATGTATTCTATGCTCGATTCGAGTAGCGGGTTTGTTGATGATTGCCTGCCAATGAAATGGTCTGCAAATGGGACAGCTCATCATCAAAACGCCTCATAAGCGGAGTTCGGAGAATTGAAAGTGACGATAGAAGGTTATTTACATGATCCCCTGACCCCAAGGATTGTGGATTTGAAACTTGCTGGACGGGATTGGCTCGATTTGTAGATTATGTGCAACATGTTTGTTGCTTAGATAGGAGGGAGGCACACTTTCGTAGATGGTGACATTCCAAGTCTACACCTACCGGTGTGACATTGCCCTCATAAAGGTCTATTTACTGACGTACGGAGGCGGTAGCGAACATTCAAAATTGCCAATGGACCTAATGTTTCTTAATACACGTATTCGTTGAATAAAAGCAAACCTATCCAATCCGCGTATATGCCGTGTTTCGTGATGGTATGACGTAGCATAAAAATGTTTCCGCGTATAAAAATCCGCTTAGCGGCCAGCCCGGTACGCGTTTCACTGGGAATAGCTGCGCGAATGCCTGCAACCACCCATCGTCCCCGCAATCACAACCATGCGCAATGGTAATCATCCGATCTCCAATTGGCTGTGTTTTATGCTCGTGGGGTTTTAAGGGTTCATCGTAGAGCGAGAGCGAGATTCTAGACGGGATGATCTGCGGACATCGACATTTTGTCATTTGGCATTGGCCTTGAGGGGGGAGCAGTCGCGGCTGTGGTGACCTCAAGGTGAAACTAGACGTGGTGGTTGGATGGAAAAGGGGGTTGAGGCACAAACGGTGTTCTCGGCATTGTTGAGTATAAAGACAACCTAGAATCGTGTCCTGTTCATCGGAAGAAACACACAAGCATTGCAATCATCTCATCTTTCACTCGTTTTCTAGGCCTTGCTTAACTTGACGCCTTTCGACAAACCCAAAATGAAGTTCTCTATTACCTCTGCGACTCTCGGCCTGGCGTTGGCCGTCTCGGCCAGGCCTGAGCTGATGAACACCAACATGATGAACAACCCTCACTTCAAGCGTGCCGAACGCGGCGAGTGGGCTCCTGCTGGACCTGATGACTGTACGTTGCAAAAGTAATACTCTCTCAGGCTTGATTACTGATATGCTGCAGTCCGTGGTCCTTGCCCCATGATGAACACCTTGGCGAATCACGGTTTCCTGCCTCGCGACGGCAGAAACCTTACGCAGGACACTGTTGTGAATGCTTTGAAAGACGGCATCAATTTCAACCAGACCCTTGGAGCCATCATGTTTCAGCAGGCTACTGTCGCTAACCCGGAGCCTAATGCCACGTTCTTTACCTTGTATGAGCTAAATACAGTCCCTTCCAAAAGTCTCGCATGCTGACTATTACATTAGGGAGCACCTCAACCGTCACAACGTTCTCGAGCACGATGCCAGTCTGAGGTGGGTAACACTATAACACCGAGACTCTCTTAGCGGTTGCTGACAACTTGGGTCCTAGTCGCACCGACGCCTTTTTTGGCAACAACCATATCTTCAACCAGAGCGTCTTCGACGAGTCCAGGGCCTACTGGACCAGCGCCATCCTCGACCCCAAACAGTTGGCCAACAGCAAGATTGCGCGTCAGGTCACCTCCCGGGCCTTCAACCCTAACTACACTTTCACCGCTAGCGTCGAGAACTTCAGTCTTGGAGAGGTTGCTGCCCCTATTATTGTCTTCGGTGACATGGTCGCCGGCACCGTCCAGAAGGATTTCGTCGAATACTTCTTCCGTAAGTTGAACCCAAGGCCACCCTTCAGAGTTGCAACCGTCTAACGATGCATCTCAGAAAACGAGCGTCTGCCCGAGGAGCTTGGATGGACCAAGAAGGCCGAGGCCGTCACCCTCGAGAACATCCTCAGCGTCACGAAGATGATTGGCGAGGCGACCAGCCTTATCACCGGCGGCGCCGAGGCCGCTCCCCACAAGCTGAAGATGAGGGACTTGCACATGGGCCTCGGACTCCTGGGTGTCCAGAAGTAAAGAGGAAGATCAAATGGAGTAGCATATTAGTGCACGTGACTTGGCAACTCTGATTCCTGCAGCGAAGTTGGAAAGTTGTCGGAACATGTGAGGTGCTGGGCAGATTGTACGGGGAACGTGGGCATGACGGAGACTTAAACCTTTCGTAAATAAATTGAGACTGCAGACCTGTGCCATATCCTGGTATGGGGGTAAATAGCACGAATCAAGTCTATCTTAGCATTTAACATTGTTTACGCTGTGAAGCATATGACCTTTGTTCGGTTAATATTTCCCCGGCTCCCAATTTCAACTCTTTAACGTCTACTTTGACTTGCGGCGAATGTGCTTGTTTTGGCAATTATTGTTTCCTTGGTATCCATTGGATTAAACGTCGTTTAGTGAAGTCACCGAATGGCTCAGAAAAATAACTTCTGGGTCTTCAATTCAAATCGGAGTCATCCACCAACGTCCATCCTTCGCCGCGCAGCTCAGCGTTCTCTATGCGCAGGTTGCACATCCTGCAATCCCCTCTGTGGGGGATGTCGTAGTGCTCGAGAATGATTTCTCCCTGGAAAGAGCCGAGAGGGTTGCTTGATGAGCTGCCAGGGGGATACAGCGTCTGCAGCCGAACATCAACCAGGTTTCCGCAACTCGGAACCGGGCAGGAGTACTTCCAGGCAATGACTCTGATCTTCATGTCGAGTAAGAAGAGAGGTCGGGATGAGGGGTTTATGGATTTTAGGGATCGGCTCTCGTTAGTGGGGATCGGAGTCGAGGTGTCGGGAGCGGGGTACGGAAGTGCGTGACAGGGAGGAGAGGGCATCTTGTTGCGAGACAGGCAACAATACATAAATAGGTCTTGCGTTAACTCTGCTGTTTTCAGCATATGCGCAAAATAATAAAGTGAATTAAACTGCTTGTGAAGGTGAATATCTGAGATGAACAACGGAACAACTGTTCGGCAAAAAAGCAACTCAGCTGTTACGGCTGTGACAACTGAATGACTGCAAAGTTGACTCTGTGAGCCCAAGCGGATCCTCATGGCGGAACGGAAACTCGAGCCTGAATCATCATGGTAAAAGGCACTGAGGTCGATCACTAGCATGCCCCTAAAGATTCGGGCACGACATATTGTGATTCACTTCTAGCTAGCCTGAAACATTGTTCGAACTGAACAAAAGAATATTACGAGAAAGCAACGTGCATAGTGCTGCTTGAGCTGCTAGTAAGCTGGCATGCCCAATTGGTGAGTCGTCCCTGAATCGACAGCGTGGCAGACCTGAAGACAAGTTAGTGTAAATGCAAGCTTTTGCTTGAGACCTGCCGAAAGAAGGGTATTCGTATCGTCACCGCGAACGTTACTACAGCACTCTGTTCCTGTCCATCAATTCTCGTTACCTTGATGCACACGAGAGCTACCTCAAAATTACAGGCGAGTGGGAAAGGAAATGAAAGTCATTAAGACAAAGCTGATGCTGCCCCGCTAGTTGGCTCTGGCTCCTTAGGAACTGTAACACAGCCCGAGCAGGGCCGGCCCGCCTAATTTCAGCCCGAAGTTCCTTGAAAAGGAACGATCTCCAACAGTGATCATCAGCGAGAGGTCAACTGCTGAGCAATGCCTCGTTGGTCCTTACGGTGATCCGCTTGACTCCCGGTCTCAAACACCAGGCCCCTCGGCTCTACCGCATGCTAGGATTGACATCGATCCGAATCCCTCGCTACTACCTCGAGGCAAGTACCAAGATAGCCATCGAGGCGCAGTCATATTTGGATACTCTTACCCCTATTCAACTCAGGCGACAGGTCCGCCTGCTTGATGCGGACACGCCATGCTCAACTGATGATGAATCGGTGTTGGCGTAATCCTTCGCTTGGGAAGACGCACATCTTGGAAAAGAATCCGGTCCGTCCAACCAAAAACTTTGCAGGAAAGTGCCTTCAGTGGCCGCCTGGAGGCCACAATGTCTCAGTCCCTGTCTAGCTTCTTCTGCAGGCTCCCGCAACGTTGTTGCCTGCGATGTACAGCATGTTCTTGGGTTAGTGAGGAAAGACTCCCCCCAAATGCTGTAGTGAATGCTAGGATCCGGGTTTGAAGCTCCCTGAAAGCTATCCATCAATTTCTCACGGGAAACCGAATGTCCGTGTGATGAGTGGGCCCGAACTTGCACGGATCTAAATGAGCATGGACCAAGTTCCTCCTGAGAGGCGGCCATGATCGCTATCATCAACAGAGTCGGTCCGGGAGGATGCCTAGTTTCTTGGGTACAACCCGACTGTCACTCGACGATGCCCAGAGGCCGAAGACGACAGTACAGCGGGGTGTCCCCCAAAAGGGGCAGTGATGTGCCCACGATGCGAAGCCCGATTCAGAAGCCCCTATCCATAACTCGGACGGTTCGAAGGATCACGATCCTAGCACGGACGCGGGACAACGTTCATCTAGAAGCCCCGCGGGCCCCGCCTTTGGAGTTTAGAGGCTAGCTCATGTTTGGACAGCCTTGAATCATGTTTGTGCCCCCAATGTTTTTCTGGGTTTCGTCGGCTAACGGCAATTATCTAGGAACAGCCTGGTTGAACACTGGAGCCTGTAGGGCTGGAAGGCACCGAGCGTCTGAGACAGCCTGAGCACGCGAGTTGCCCGCGTGTGACGAGGATTTCTTGAAGGAAGGGAATAAGGAAGGAATCCCCCCTTCAACGTTGCGTCCGACGTCGAACCCCGGCTACTTGAAATTAAATCCGTAGTCTCTACGGGTATGGATTTCAAGAGGATGATTGGCTAGATTACGATTGTCTTGGCCGGGAAGATATTCTCAAACCCCAGCACTCTTTTGTGGCTGAACTTGTCGGGCAAATGTTGTCGTAGACACATGAATAATCTTGTCACTAAATGAATTGAGATGGATGCTGGAGTGAAAATCAGATGAGAAGCAGTCAGTCTTGCCGAGCGCGCGAAAGCAGAGAGCAATGTTTTCTAGCCGTACCCAGAAGCAACGGGGGGCGGCTGGCTTCACCTCATGCTTTCGGTCTCCGCTTGCTAAGAAAATGAAACTGATTTGGAGTCTTCATTGGGATATTCAGTCAAGGTCCTTTGTTTGACATGACACGAAACCGAAAAAATCATCATTCCTTTGCTGAACTGCCCTGTTCAACAACGTGGATTTTGTCCCTACATAATCTGGAGGGATTTGGCAACAGTGCCCCACAGTGACAGCCAATTGGGGCACCCCATTAAGTCCTTGGTTCACTTCCAGGCGGGAATCTTCGCCGAGCTTTTGACCGTCATGAACAATACTGCTTTGATGGAAGACACTCTTTATCTCGTGAAACTTGGACCAAGTATTGAAAAGTAGTCTATGCTTTGTTTAAAACCAAAGGTCTTTTGCGGAGAGATCATAGAAAAGTCGGAAATAGTAAGATTTGTGTTGTTGAACGAACTAGAACATTGAGTTAAGACAGAGCTATTGTTTTGACTGCCCTTCTTGCGGAAACCATGAAAAGCTTCTAAATGATAACTTTACTTAAGATGTAGTTGATTGACGGCGGCGTCTGGGGCTACATTGGAATCACAATAAGCCTACCCAAACATCTCGTCACTAAACCATAACGTCCATTTCAAGCCCGCTCTCATATACGTAAGCAAGCCCCGTCTAACTTCAAAACAACAACAGCAATCATGTGCAGAATCACGCAGAATGTTGAATACTGCATCAACTGCGGCAGAACGATACTTTACCGCGACAATTTCGAACCGTGCTTGAGAGTGCAACAGTTCAGTAGACAATGTGGCACCCCAGTGCGATGGTGCAGAGGCACACTCTACCGACACATTGAAGAGGCCTACGTTCAGTCTTGCCATAGATGCCATCCTCACTCTTATGCTTACGCGGATGACTACGAGTACGAAGATGAACTCGATGAAGAGGAGGACATACCACTGACCCCGCCTCATAGGCGGTCTCTCAGATTTCCCGCAGAGGTGTCTCCACCCCGACAAACCATTGTTCGACATGTCAACCGGCTGCCATCCCCCCCTCCCGCTTATCATGGTACAGCAACTTCGCAGCATATCTCTCAGCCTCCACCGCAGTACAGCCCGCCGCGCCGCAATCGGACTCAGCCTCAAGTATACGTGCGAGAACCATCCCCTGAGCCAGCTAGGGTTCGATTTCAGTCTTCCCCAGCTCGCCGCGCCCAAACCCTTCCCGGGAATCTATCAGCACACGAAGTTGAGGAGAACTTCCGGGGCCCTTCTCATCATTATCCGGAATCTCAAAACGGTCGGCTGGATATCTTGCAGATTGTTGGACAGCGTGATCGTCCACGAAGTGCACATGGGATTCGCGCACGACTTCATCGTGCGTGGCATGGACCTGAGTTTCGATATGATTAGGTGCTGGGGAAGAGTTGGACAGGAGCTGGAAGATGTGGAGCAAGGGATAGAGTAGAAGCTGTGGACGTGTGTGCAATTTGATTTCTTGAGTGTACTTATATGCATCCGCTTCCAGTGCCCTTGATTTCAGCTCTAACAGACCGAAGTATTTGCAGGATAGAGCTTTGTATTTTGATGGTAAGTCGTTTCTTTTGGATCATGGTTCATCACAATACGTCCGTGTATCAAAGCCGAAGGCCACTGGCTTGATGGTCAATATCGTGATGAGCAAACCAACTGAAGCTTTCGATGTCTTGCGTTGCGTATAAGTCGGATCTCAATTGTACGCCCCGTATCCGCTAAGAAGCCTCTCATGGAACGGCTTCGTGTTCTTCGCACAAGTCTTCTTCACCATACCAACCATCAGCTTGGAACACCTAATCTCCACAACAGCGATCATCTCCAACCCTCCATCCTGTGCTTCTCGAACTCGCCATCGCGTGTCCAATACCACACCCATAGGCGCAACGGTGTGAACGAATATGCCGTCATTAGTGCGAGTGTACTCATTGTAGCTTACAGCGTCGCGGTGACCAAATAATGCCGGTACACTGTCGGTCACCATGTACGCCTTCGTCGCCTCGGTTGGGTGTATATCGCTGGGGAGCTTGACCGGGATTTGAAGGTCGCAAGGCGAAAAAGACTTCATATCAGAATCGGACCGTATGTGGTGCTCCGCATCTTGAACAAGTGCGAGAGCTTTCTCGCGAGATATGCTTGCTGGAATTGGCGTGACTTGGGTTAAAGTAGCCGAAGTATCTAACATCTTTGATTGTAGTTGAATTAAGGAATAACTTGCAGCAATACCATCTTGCGCTCAATCTGGTATGGGGACCCCAATGATTTATTGCGATTCGAGCCAGATCAAGGAGCTCGATGACCGAGCGGCCGAGGCCCTTGACACGGGGAAAGTTTCACATATCTACAGTCGTGAACTATAATGTACGAGCTCCTCGGGTTATTGGCCCCAGTACTTGAGAGACTAGAATAAAATGCATTTACCGGTGGGATGATTGGTTTCATCTCTAACACGGCATATTACTATGGCAATTCTTACACCCGGGCGGGCCGAGCCGATCTGAGTATGTAATATCCATCAAGAGTATCTTAAGTATCAAGCTGGGCTCACTTACCTTCGGAAATTTATTGAAAGCAGATTTGATCTATCCTGTCGGGGGTGAGTAGGAAAGACTTGATAGACGCCAAAGCAGCCGTGCTATGTTCCTTCCCTCTTCATTAATTCACTCAGCCTGGAGGCAGCCGAATAAAAATTGACACAGAATCTTTAGCCTCTCTCTGCTTCAAGAAACCTTCATTTTGTCATGTCTTACTACATGAGTGAAGACAAAGCATTGGCGTAGCCGTTTCGACGAAGCAACACAGCCTTTCAGTGGGCGTGAAAACTGTCTCTTAGCGATTTAAACTCCTTTGGCAGATCGAGAACCAGCTCACCACAAGCGATATCTCCATTGGCTTCTTGATGTTGGACCGCATCATCAACTTTGAATTTGATAGAAGATGTCTTGCAGCTCTATCCCTATTTTACCGGCAGGTTGAAAACCACTACTCAAGTCTGGTTAAAATGTTGAGTGACTGATGCCGAAGCTCTGTCCCAAAAGATTCCATGCTACCCAGGATCTTTTTTGAAAGAAATCGTCACTTTGCTTGGCAATACAACATCGGTCTCCCGCAAAACCTTAACTGAGAAAACGGCCAGTCCAATGGCTTCATCCCGCCGGAGCGGGAGGAAATGTCACATTCCACGCATCCCACGGAGGCCCGTCGAACATGGTCACAAAAATGTCCCACTAGTGCCCAAAAAGATATATACTATCTTGCAAACCATTTCCCCGCATAATTGTAAACACCTCCCGCCCCAACATTTCATAGGCCGCCAACATCAGATCAGTCCAATAGTCATCATGTGGATGCTTAAAGCTGCGCTGTTGACCCTGCTTGGTGAGTTCGTCCCCTATTGACGAGTTGAAGGTATTACTGATTATTTAGCTCTTGGCCCGAGAATTTCGACGGCCGAGTGTACTTCAAAGGATGCAGTCGATTCAGAGCGATACGATTACATTGTCGTCGGAGCAGGCGCCGGTGGCATGCCTGTCGCAGACAGGCTTTCCGAGGCGGGCAATAAGGTCCTCATGATTGAAAGGGGGCCTATTTTATCTGGTCGATGGTTTCCCGAGGAGAATTTACTCAAAGATCAACTCCCTTTTGACAACTGGCGACCGGAATGGCTCAAAGGCACCAACCTCACCAGATTCGACGTACCAGGCCTGTGTCAAAGAATCTGGGTAGACGGGAAAAATGTCACGTGTGACGACATCAACGAGAATATATCTGGCTGCGTCCTGGGCGGAGGAATGGCCGTCAATGCAGGTCTCTGGTGGAAGTCTCCTGACATTGACTGGGATCAAAACTATCCAGAGGGTTGGAAGGCAGCAGACATGAAGGTTACCGCGGATGCGCTTTTCAAGAGAATCCCTGCAACCGACAGGCCCTCAACGGACGGTGTTCTCTATGCTCCGGAGGGCTATAACGTGCTTTCGCGCGCCTTGGAAGCCGGAGGATGGAATCACGTCAACCCGGCAGACAACCCCAACGCGAAAAGCCAAACATTTGCGTTTGCAAACTTCATGTACCAGAACGGGGAACGGCATGGTCCGTTGGCAACCTATCTGGTTACGGCAAACTCGAGACCTAACTTCAAAATGTGGACGAACACGATGGCCCGCCGTGTCATCCGCGATCGAGGTCGGATCACAGGGGTCGAGGTCGAGTCTCGTGGTGACGGAGGCCGATGCGGCATCGTGAACGTAACGGAGTCGACTGGCCGAGTGGTGATCTCAGGCGGCTACTACGGCACACCGAAGCTGCTATTCCGAAGCGGCATCGGACCAGAGGATCAGCTCCGCATTGTCCAGCAGAGCACCGATGGCCCCGACTTCATCGAAGAAACCCAGTGGATCAAGCTACCAGTAGGCCGAAATCTTCACGATCACACGGTCACTGACTTGCAGATCACTCACAAAGACGTCTATTATTATGACTTTCAGATTGGTGCATGGGAGAGTCCAATCCAAGCTGATGTGGATGCCTACTTGAAGAATCGGACTGGGATGCTTACCATGACGGCGCCAAATGATGGTCCTATCATGTGGGAAGTCATTCATGGGCCTGATGGACCACGCCAGTTTCAATATACAGCACGAGTGGCCGGAGCGACCAAGAATTCGATGACAATCTCGCAGTTCCTTGGCCGAGGCGGTACATCAGTTGGCGCCGTGACAATTAACTCAAATCTCACGATGTCCATTTCTACTCTTCCATATCAGCAAACGAAGGAGGATAAAGCGGCCATCATTGCTAGTATCAAAAATCTCATGAAGGCACTGTCGACCGATCCTGACATCGTGTTCACACACCCGCCCGCAAATATGACTGTGGAACAATACATTGAAGAGGTACGATCACTCATTTTTGGCTCGGCCTTCTGTAACTAATGCTAATAATTCATAGATGCCCGTGAATCTCCAGAGACGGCGTGGGCTTCATTACCTCGGTACCGCAAAGATGGGAATCGACAGCGGTCTTGAAGGTGGCACGTCCGTCGTCGACACTCACACGCGCGTCTATGGTACAGAAAATCTGTTCATCGTCGATGCTTCGATTATGCCTGGAATGGTCACGACCAATCCGTCTGGACCGATCATGACTGTTGCGGAAAGGGCAGCTCAGCGCATTCTAGAGCTACAAGGGAACATCTTGTCTGCTGGTGTCGGTGTCGCGGATGTTTCAAAAGGGGCGCAGAAGAGTCTGGCGAATCAACCGTCGTACAACATCCCTCTACTTACTTGCGCGCTAAGTCTTGTCATTTTACAGGTGGGATTCTAAGCCAAATAACACACACCATCGCACTAGAAAATCGCGAAACTTCAGTAGCGTAAGAGTGTTTGTTGCGGCGGAGGCTAAAATCTGTTTAACTCACAACTTCTGGCTGGTCATATGATGGTTCAGTTTAGATAACATCTTGATGAACCCACTTACCTAGAAATGGCAATCAACAAGCATACATGTACACTCTATCCCGACCGAGACTCCATTCATGCTCATACACGTTGATGAAGTTCTCATTCTCTACACAACTAAAGAGTTGATAGATCTTAACCGCCGTTTCTTCCGCCGCCGAAGCTGCCTGACCCTATTCGAACACCCCCAACGACGCAATGACCGACAGACGAGTCGCACTGAAGCTGAGGAGACTTTTGTCCAAAGCCGCCACTGACCAGGTCAGGGTTAGGGCCCTCGACATCCCGGTTGACCATAGGAGATCCGCCAGCCTTATCGTCAATGATGCTGTCACTGATTTGGAAGTCTCCGCCATCATGCTCGGTGAGGACGAATTTCTCCGTTGCTTGGGTAGTAGGTAGCAGTATCGCAATTGGAAAGGGCCACGACTTGGCCATGTTGGTCGGCGCAGTAAGGCCTAGCATCGGCAGCAGCCGCAAAGAAGGCGGCGACTGCGAGCTGTTGGAGGCCCAAAAGGGAGAGGTGAGTGGACTTCATGTTTGTGTGGCTAAGTCTTTTTTTAGTTGGGATGATGGTAATAAAATAACAGGCTTTGGTTGCTTAAGACGGCAAACTAGAACAAGCCTTTGGAACGGACGAATATCGTCGTTTTGTAATATTTGGCAGAACTTTGTACAGAAGATTGAACAGAAAGAAAGGAAGAAGCTATAATCTTCCATTGATGGGTTGATGGTGAAACAATCTGCTCGTCAATTTCGCAGGGAACGAACCTTGTTAGAAAAGGGTACGAGTGCTTCGGACTTCCACGACAGGCGGATAAAGAATTAGAGGACACAATGATTTTTCTGTCATAGCTTAGGTCTGGAATGAAGCACAGTTGCGTCTTGCTCGTAATATCGGGAATTGACTTCGATGATGGAACTTCCTAAAAGTTTCCACATAGAGATGTCCGCATCATCACGACTTTCCTCGGAAAGGTGTTGTGATGCCCTGGCCCGACAACTCGGTCTGGCAGAGCGAACGCCCAGACCCGCTAGTATCGTTCATTCGGGAGGCGTTCAACCATCATGAGCCTTGGAAGATGCATTATGCAGCAGCTTGCTCTGCTCCCAGAGTTCAGGACCGGGATGGAAACGCATACTGCCCTGTGATAGAATTGTGGTTCATCGACGGCGATTCTGCAGGTATGGCAATCCCTGAAGACAGGACGCCGATTACGACAAACACGCCCGTCTTTATTCCGCACTCAATTGAGGGCGGACCCGCGGCGGACGAAAAACAGAAAATCCCCAACAGCGAGGAAATTGAGGAGCAAATTGTTCGTTTGACTGGGAGGGAAATGAGATTGTGAGCTTCATGCAAAAGGTTGTTCTTAGTTAATGGTCGTTCAGAAGCACAAACATGTACCCGGGGGTCAAAGCGTCTGGCAGGCTACCGCTAGACCCCCTACTCACGTAGGGGGCGAAAATACTGGGTTTCCATGCAAGAAACTGGTTTCCACTAGGGTTATCTTTAATAACTCTATAGCCCTAGCTTTAAAATTATAATATTATGGTTTATAATTAAGTTCTAAAAATCATAAAAATTCTAATATAATTATATTAATTATATATAGTATATAGTTATATATATAGTTATTTTTCGTTATTAGTAGAAATATATTTCTTTATATATATATAACTATAACCCTAACCCTTATAATCTCTATTATAAAGTTTTAAATACATTTTAATACTATATATTTATATACTTATACTATAAGTTTTTATAGTAAACTAAATAAATATAATATTAATAATAACCTTTCTCTAAGAATTTATTTTTTCTAAGAAATTCTTTAGAAAACTAAAATCCTTAGAAAAACTAAGAAATCTAAGATATTAATATAATATTAATTTATTAATAGACTATATTAGTTAGTATAATATATAGTAATTCTATTTAAAAATCCTTTTAAAAAACTACTTATTTAGAATTAGGGTTAGGGTTATAGATTTCTTATAATTAAGCTCTATATAAACTAAGTTTATAAATATTTAAGTAACTATAGTATATATAAGTATAATATCTATATAGGAATTTTTGCGATTTTTTAAGCTTAATTATAAGCTATAAAAAGGTCTTTTTAGGGTTAGGGCTATAGAGTTATTAGTGATATTAGGGGTGGAAACCAGTTTCTTGCATGGAAACCCAGTATTTTCGCCCCCTACGTGAGGAGGGGGAGTTTTGCGCTTGACGCAGGCTGACTAACGCCCCCGGGTACGGGTAAAAGGTGTTGGCAAGCTCAGTGCATAATCTCTGTATAAGCCTGGGCTTCATTAACCCAGGATGGTAGAATGGAATTCTCTTAGATTTATTTTCCAGCACATTCGATGAGACTTTATCCAGATAACTTGTCGCCTTAGTACAGCGTATGCTGTGCTGTTAATGTTGGACCGCACAGCATCCTGGCGGGGTTAAAATAACCCGTAATGATACCAGAGGTCAGGGCAACTTTCACGGTGAAGACCGCAAAAAGAAGTGGTTCTCCCCTTCCAGAATCGAACTAGAGACCTTTCGATGACAATGTAACCATTACAGTCGAACGTGATGAACCAACTACACCAAGGGGAGTGACAGGGCTAAAGCCCCGCTTGGTGGGATGGCTTCAATCGAGCCGCAATCGGCCCATAGAGCGAGCGTGATTCAGGCTCCACATTTGACCTCATTGCGATGCTCACGCATGGCGAGTCAAACCCCTCAGGGTAAACTTGTAGAACAAATATATAAAAAAGAGCTTTTTAGGTACTAGTTATATAGTATAAAAAAGACCCTGCTGACTCAGTTGTTAATAAGCAAACAACAAAATATCTACTAACCCTACAGCTTTTGAGTGGGCGACATGCACGTTCATCATTTGTAAATGGTGTATCTTTGTTCTCCGTCGTCTTTTTTGTTAAAGGCTTTTTATTTGAATTGTCGAGCGAACAAAGCGTGTATCATAGCAGTTGATCATTTTCAAGCGCTTTTTGCGTAAATGACTGTTGATGCCATGCTAAATGTCCGTTTCCAGTGACACAGTCTCAGACCATTAGAAATTGCTCCAGTCCCTAACGCCAGCATAAGTTGCTCCGACGGTGACACTTTTCACGTCATTTTCTACCGTACCAAATGCCAAATGCAAAAGTGCATCATCGGTCGAGTCACTGTACTCCGCCGCCGGCAAACCCTTCCCAGAAACAGCCCCCCACATCAACCTACTCTCAGCCAGGTCGTCTCGCCAATCACCACCTTCGCATTCCGATACATGAACGTGAGCGCCCTTTTGGTCAGTTTGATTCAGCGGAACTGAATCAGAATCAGAGTGTCCCCACGCCGAGACCGGCTCGGGGGTACTCGCTTTGGATACCTTGCGATTCGGCTGGAGAACATGACAGGCAGCCGAGATAGCTGCCGAGCAGCTCCCGACCATTACTGTCTCCCCTGATAGACGGAATCGCGAGGCGATAATTGGGATGACCAGCATCGTTAAGAGGACGGCCATGGTCGCGATGGCGGCTTTGAAGGATAGGAGGATGTTTATGTACATGGTGACTTGTCCGTAACTGCTCGACACAATCTGATCTGGCGGAATGGCCTCGAGTGCTTTGATGCGTTAGTGCATTTCGCCAATGGAAACCTTAATGAACTCACGTTCTACTATGATTGCATATACGGAGTTGGCACACAGCCAGTGCACCAATAAACCTGCTGCTTGCATGATAATAGCATATGACAGGGGAATCTCCAGGAACGGTTCGGACTGCTGCTGTCCTTTTGGCACACTGACGCGAAGTGGTTTGAGATTCAGGCTGTAGGACGTCCATTCCCTGGCCATAAACATGCGAGTATAGATGACGTTCAGGAGGAGGCAGGTGATGGATAGCCCGAGCTGTGGGAGGTTGGACAGGAGGGACGAGCCGATGGGGTTTATGGCCAAGCTCCCCACGAAGTTCTCGAGGGCTTTCGAGGGGTACTTCATTGCAAAGACGGGATTCTCAGGGTCCTGTCCAAAGGTTCCCCACGTGTAGGCGCGCTTCCATCCCCCGCTATGATATCCACGTTAGCAAAGCAAATTCGCAAGGCAAGATGGATACGGGCTTCTTACACTTCGCTGACAAAAGAGTTCAGCGCCAGGAATCCCAGAATCAAACCTACAACGCCAATGGAATATGTCTTGATCCAGTCCGAGAGATGGACCGAGCCGCCCCAGCGCTGCGTCCGTCTCTCCCACTTTCGTGGCTCGGCGAGCCAGCCGTATTCCTCCGGCCGCTTGCGGAGTCTCCAACGGCTCCTCCTAGAAAAGTCCCGCCATCCGAATGTGCACATGCCTCTCGTAGTGGCGTCGGGCAGGCGGATGAAGGAGTCGATAGCATCCCCTATAGTTGCCAGCGGTTTCCTTTTCCACAAGTAGCTTATCACAATGACACAGAGACAGCTCTTGAACAGTGCAACAATGCAAACCGCCAGAAACAGATCGTTGTTGACGCGTACCCTGCAAGTGCCGACGATGGGCTCCGAGAGGCAGTACTTCACCGTCAGCGTCTCGTTGAGTAGTGGGACGTTGCCTGGCGCGCCTACGGCGTCCCATGAGATGACCCAGTTGTCGTTTTGATCGAGCAGATCATTCATCCACGTGCCGGTCTTGAGGTCGAGAAGACCCCAGAATCTGCCCTTTGACGAGATGACGGAAACGTTCTCGTATGGGCCGTGGTCGTTCTCCCATTTTATGGTCATACCCGTGGCCAAGCCGGACCCTGTGAATCTGTTGTTGCCAGAGTGGAAGCCGTAGAAGCCGGCGTACCAGAGACTGTAGACCGTGTCGTTGAGCATACCAGCCTCCCATGCCTTGGACTTTTCCGCCGTAGTCCATCCTCTGTCGTTGTTGTCCGCTTCCACCACTGCCACCATGTGTCTCCTACTGCGCACATTGATCCACACGCTGTACGCCTCCAGACACTCCTTTCCAGTAAGAGGCTCCCAGGACTTCGCGTTGGCTGCCATGTATTGCACCTCGTCCGGGACTACGTCGCTGTACGCTTGGTCAGCTGGCCTAGGGTCAGGGCCCAGGCCAATGCCGGGAAGGTAATACTCCCGACCCTCGAGGAAACCTTCCGACGCAACAGCCGTAACCCACTCCGTGCTCGTAGTCGAACCGAAGACGCAAGCGTTGAAGAGCAGATGAAACGGCACGGAGCTCAACGCAAACAGGCTCCATAGCACGCCACGCCACGGCGACACGTAGCGTAAGTTGCGCATGGAGGGGATGCCCACGTCCATCCACCGCGAGCGGCGGTGCGCGGCATCGATGTCCGCCCGCGTCGGAGCGGCCAGCATCTGCATGAAGTAGTTCGAAGATATGAGAATTAGGGTGGAGAAGGCGTTGACGAATGCTTTGAGGGCCATCAAACGTACGCGCGCCGAGTCGCAGTCGCCCTCGAAGATCTTCGAAATGTTGAAGACGAGCGAGTCTGTAGACCCGCGGGCGCGGGTGACGGCGAGGAGAATCCAGAGGATGATTGTCAGCGTCCATATTGAGCAGACAAAGACCAGGGCTGACACGCGCCAGCCGCTGAGGGTTTGGCCGAAAAGGTGTCGCATCTCTGTCTTCCCCGTGCCGCGAGAGGGCTTAACACGGAACAAGAGAGGAGTTGGGAGATGCTGGGAGTTGGCTTTGGAGGCTCAGGTTTTGGGAGGCATATTTGAATGTCTGCTGGCCTGGAAGATCTTCATCACTGCTGCAAGGGCTTCGTGTTCCAGGTCATGATCGATTCCAGCTATTCGTCAGGGTGTTTAGCGCCAGGCACGTAGTCTTACTAAATGAATGCCAAGACGGATGCTTGCCTGGTATGAAAGATTCATTGGCTCCTTGGACAGGCAGATATCCTTCCTAAGCCTTACCAGCTCTCGCTTGATAATCCCAAGACGGTAAATTGTGGCCCAGCTGGCTTTCCATCTCTGTCTTACGTGAGATTCAGCGACATGAATGCGAGAATTGCTTTCCCTGGCCTCTCGATGTTGCCGTGCAGCCATGCGCCCCTGACAGGGATCAGCGCAGCGTCTCATTGGTACATTAGCGGCAAGTTCTCGACCCCTGCCGTTTGATGAAGTTCTGAGGAAAGCTGTCAGCAAGATACTAAATATCCCAGAAAAGAGAATGTTTCGATATCAGAGTGTCCGGGCTGGAAGGCTAGACTTGAAATTGACCTTAATAAATGTGATATGTTCGGCCCGAGCCTGGGCCAGTGTTGTTGATTAAACATTCAGAGAGGTTGACGAAGCCATTTTTGGTGTTGACAAAATTTCCGTCATTGTACTTTTCCTGCATTTCATCTCCGTAAATTTCTGTGTATTAAACGAGTTAAAACAGCTAACGATATAATGATTGGCATCTAGCGTTAGAGATAATTACTGTTAAGAAACAAAATCAAACTCAGTCTTAGGTAATCCATAGAGAAAAACCAACATCCATCACTAATATCTCAAATCATAGGGGAGCCTCTTTATAACACTATAATGCAGTTTTACAGACTTTCAATCCTCTAATCCGCATGCTCTATACCGTTAGAAATGAATAGATTATTATATGCTCAATATATCAAAAAGTTCATCACACAGACGCAAAACAATAACCCGCCCCACCACATCAAAAGTGCGGTGTTCGAGTCGTTTGAGAAAACGCAACTGGGTGTCAGCTATGAGGAATGAATACAAAAAGAAAATGTGGTTCTCCCCTTCCAGAATCGAACTAGAGACCTTTCGATAGATGTGGATGAAATACCATTACAGTCGAACGTGATGAACCAACTACACCAAGGGGAGTAACGGGGCTAAGGCCCCGCTTGGTGAGATGACATCCACCAGACCACAAGCTGGCTATAGCCTAGAGCGAACGAAGGAAACATGGATCTCCACACTTGGGTCTCTCGGGTCGGAAAGTCTAGAAACGAATTTATATAGGTACCTTTCCCACGATGAGGGACGTTCGAATAATATGCTCAGGGCTTCATTAGGTGGAAAAGCCCCGCCGTAGCTGTATCACCCTGTCGGACATATGTAGTAGCTGTTCGTAAGTTTCAATTTTGTGCTTGTTTTCAAATCAACCCATGATCATCCTGGTCATGTCCTGGTGTGTGAGATAACTGCCACGGCCTAGTCGCGTGACGTGCTGACCAACCCCATGGCCAAAGGAACGAAGACTGGCTAAGTGAAAGGCGTTAAATACAAGACAAGAGGTTTTGGGACCGTTCACATTCGTCGGCTCTGCGGGCTGGCGAGCAAGAGAAACAACAGTATTTCATATACAGCAAGCATGCAATTACGATTTGGAATGTAGCGTCAAGTAAATTGATAATGATAGAATATGTCAAATAGCTCCTCCATGTGCATGCGCATCAGACACATCGTGAAGAAATATCGAGAAAGGCGAGGTATTTTACTATGTACGCGAGAATTGAAAAGTACAGTCGTGCCACGAAACGGGCTCATCATCTTCATACCCGCCTCACCAACCCACCCAGCGTCGTGCCCGTCTACTGGTGAACAAGCAGCGCAGCCTCCTGCAGGGGCGCGAGCAGGGCGTACGCAAGGGCGTTGTAAAAGAGCACATTCCCGCCGTTCTGGCTGAACTCCCCGGACGCCGCGTCCCTGGTGAAGAACTCGCCCGAGCGGTAGTCGGCGATGCCCTGCAGCGTGACGAGGGTGCCGTAGCCGTCCTCGTCCGTGAGGCTGTAGAGGTGGTAGCCGATGGACTTGTCGGGGTTGAGGTAGGCGGTGGCGTTGAGGTAGTACTCGTTGATGACGGAGGCGGAGATCTGCACGGCGCCGGGCTGGACAATGCCCCTGGTGGCGGGGGTTAGTGGCCATAGCGATAGGGTGGTTTTCGTGGAAGGGGGAGACGGGAGAGACTTACTCGATGACGGGGACGTTGGTGGAGACGACTTTGTTGACGTCGACGGTGACGACGGCGGAGAGCGTGCGGCGATCGATGGTGCTGGCTGCGCTGAGGAGCGGCAGGGCGAAGAGGGAGGCGATGGCGGTGAACTTCATGGTTGCGCTGGGTTTAATGGGCAGACTAAGCGACTGGAGCTGGTTGTCGAAGATTGTGACTGATGTTGAGGGCGATTTGCGATTCTCATTCCGAGAAGAGTTGCAGCTATTTATCCAAACCCGGCCACAATCTGTTCATCACACAATACGCCGTGGATAGTTGCGCCACTTCGGCTTCTCCGCACATATATAGAAGGTCGCATTGAACTTGCATTACGGCAGGTTTTCGGAACCATAATCGCCTTCGGAGTTGAGGGCAATACCGACGTCGGATGTTATTCGTTGAAGCTTCGCGATGCACGCAAGCCTTCCCTGTCCCCATAGGAAAGGGTTATGTATAGCGAGATCCGTTCCCCCGAAGAATACAAAGTAAACGCCGCGAGTACAATTCCTGTTACCTGAGTGAAGTGGTCCGCACTCGAGCTTCTTCCAGCAGCTCGATCGAGGGCGCAGGCCCGTTAACAGGGACCGATGTCGACGCACAACATCCCATGAAAAGCCGCAGTCAAGGATCCTGCATTCCACAATGTGGCATTAGTATTATGTCTATTTGCCATAACGGGCAATTTGGAAATTCGGAATTTGTTTACTCCCAGACTCGTTGGTATTCTGGGTATGGGAGTTGAATGTGACCTTGCAACTCTTGGTCAAGAGGAGGCGGATATTTCCCAACACAGATGTCACTTGCCAGATTCAACACACAACTCCCCACAATGGGACGTGCGTGCCGCGCGCTACCCGAGAGAATCGCGGAATCTCGTCGATCTTTGCTCGTGGATACTTGTTCCGGGCATGTCTCCCGATGCAGGCAGGGCTGTTGTGATGCGATATTGGGTTGATTGTTTATCAATCAGCATCTGTGGAGCAATCGGTCATTCGATGCAGCTGGGTAAACTTTGGATCTTATGTTCGTCTGAAGAGGATACACCTATTCTGCCATATGATCAACGTAAACAGGTAAGTGTCTAATTCATTCCCCGCCGTTGCTGGGATTCACGCCCGACAAAATAGTCATCATCCATTCCTTCATCATAAGAATGGGTATCTTCAAAAGTCTAGCAACTCAAGTAGAACGCCTCTAGCCGTGGCGGTGGGTATCATTCGTGTACGTGAACCAAAACGCCTGAATCTGCCGCCCCTCAACTCGTAGCGCATCCCAGTCCTTTTATTCTTTATTCCCCCTTGCCCTTTCTTTTACTTTTTCCCCTTTCTGACCATCAAAGACCTCCACCTCCGGGTCATCATCTCTTGATTCACTACACATAATCCATTACACATAATCATGAAATACCCCTCGTCTCCAATATCTTACTCAACTCCTTCAGCCTCACAGGCTTCGTCAAAAACAAGTCGATCCCGCTCGCGAACGCCTCCTGCTGCGCGCCCGCGGACGCCAGCCCCGTAAGCGCGAAGACGTTGCACCTGGGCAGGCCCTCCGCCTTCTCGTGCGCGCGGATGCGCCGCGTCGCCTCGAAGCCGTCCATGACGGGCATAGATATGTCCATGAGGATGCAGATGACGCCGCCGGCGTTCTTCCGGAAGGACTCGACGGCCTGCCTGCCGTCCGTCGCGCTGTCGAATTTGTGGCCCAGCTTCTTCACGTACGAGGCTAGGATCCTGAGGTTCAGCGGGTTGTCGTCGACGATGATGAACCGCGGCTTGCCTGGTTTGGACGTCGTCGGCGTTGCCGAGCCGCCGGAGCCCGGGGTGGCGGCAGCAGTAGCAGCAGGCGCCGGGTGCGGGGTCGACGGACGGACGTCCTTGGACCGGTCGGGCAAGGCGATGGCGTCGATGGGATTTCCGACCTCCGTCGCTGAGGGCGGTTCTTGTGCCAGCTGCTCCTCTATCGGAGGGAATTGCGGCTCGCTGATCTGCGAGTCGGGGGAGAAGACGTCGTTTGGAGTGCCCGCGTCCACAAACGCCTCGGTGCTGCTTGCTCCGGGGCTGCGGGCGAACTTGCCCAAGCCGAACCCTGTCGGCCCCTGGTCACCGACGTCTGGAGTGGGTTGATCGGTGACCAGGGACATGGCTGTGGGTGTGGGGATTGCGCCGGCTTGTACCTTCGTCCACCGCCTGAAGCTCAACAGCAGGACCTTTGCTAGTTTTCTCGGGCCGATACTATACTCACAGCGTCATCAGCATCATGTTGACAGCTGGTACGAGGGGGGGACTTACGGTTGTGAGATAAACTCGAAGACACCGTTTTTGTTTGTAAACCTCGGCGAGAGGGAGAGTTGGCGTGCTGCTAGGGCATTTCGGCAAATGACCACGATCGGAATGTTGATGGTGCCGTGGCGTCGATCGTACAAAAGCTGGTCCAGGTGACGGTCTGTGGAGAGCATGAGATCGGGCAACAGCAGTTCGGCTGACTTTTCGTCGATGGGGTACATGCGCAACCATTCACTGCAGAGGTGCTTGAGCAGGTCACTTTCGCTGGCGACGGTTCCGGGCAGACCTTCAAGGGTTCCGATTCCGTAGTCAGTTGGAAAGCCCAAGAATCGGACCCGAAGGCCTCTCAGCTCGGCCACATGAGCCTGAAATTCATTGAAGCCCGCAAACTTGAAGGGACTAGACGTTGCGCCAGAGGAAATGGCGCCGTGCAGGGGAAGTCGAACGGTGACTCGGGTGCCACGGTTGACCTTACTCCATACGTCAATGCTGCCCCCCAGGTTAACGACAATCTGGTGCACTAAGCTCAGCCCCAGACCTGTACCCGCGGATAGGCTATCCTCTTGGGCAAAAGGTGTAAATAGATGGTTCTGAAGGTAGTCTTCCGAAATGCCCTTCCCCGAATCGGTAATGATGATCTCGACGTGAGACCCTTTTGCGGCCTTGTTGCCCTTTACAGAGCTCTGGAGTACATTCACGTTGACAAAGCCGGTGCTCGTGTACTTGAGTGAGTTGCCCAGCAGGTTCATGATGATACGCCGTATCGCGCCGGGCTGGGTGTGGAAAGTCCACGAGACGGCCGGGCTGATGTCGAAGTTAACGGATACGTCCCCAAGGACCAATTGCACGTTTCCATGCCTGCCGCCGCTCGAAGCCATGTCCTCCATCGCCTGCATGCTGTCAAGTCTCGACATGGCGTTAGGTTCGATGTTGTCAGCGGCGCGGCTGTTTGCAAGTTGGGCGACGGACATGCGTTGATAGCTGAAGCCGGCGCAGACGCTGTCCACAACCTCCTCGGCGAGGACATCGATCTCCACGTTGGAGGAAATGCTCATCATGCCCGCCTCAATGTTTGCCTTCTCATCCCGACCTCTCAGGCCACGGTCGCCAATGCTGCTGCGCCGGCGTTTTGATTGGGAACCAATGAAGTTGTTAATCTTACTCCAGTCCAGAAGATGGTCGATCGTCTCGAGGAGGGTACGGCCGCAGTTTTCCACCGAAACTAGCGTCTCGCCCTGGAAAGCATCGAGGGGAGTATCGCGGAGCAGTTCCGTGCCTAGGATGATACCGTGTAGCGGTGATCGTAGTTCGTGGGAGAGGGAGCTCAATAGGTCCGTCTTGGCCTTGTTGACTAGTCTGGTGTTGATACGGTCAACCTCGGACATGACGACCGCGCTGAAAGCACGAAGGTAGCTGAGTTCGCCCTCAATGGTTAGGACGCGCGTCGCGGTCTTCGTGCAAGCGAACCCGCCGGCGAACCAGCGCTGCTTATGTACGTCCCATAGAGGAACGACAGCTATGCTTCGAGCCCCAGAAAATATTGAACTGAGCATGTTGCCCTCGTTCTTGCGTGAGAACGGGTTGCGGACCCGTCGACGGGGTTTTTGAGTGTTTTCTTCTCCGTGTGCAGGCACCAGCACAGCTTCACTCATCTCCTTGGCAGGGGTCGGTATCATCTTCACATCGTCGCCTGAGAAATCGCTCGATTGGATGGAGCCGGTTTCGTCAAAGTTGAATATTTTTCCCTCAGGGTATCTCCTCAGCAATTTGTTGAGGAACCTTTCCGACATGGACGCGTGGCTTTGGGACGGAAGCCTGCCGTCAATGCTCGAGGCTGACGAGGTAGAAAATCCGAGGACCCGACATTGCGTGTCTTCCGACCCAACGTCGCTGCCCGCAATACTCCTCGGGCTCCCTTTCTCGTCGCTAGAAGACGACGTTGACTTGTTTGACTCCGTAGACCTGCGCCTGGCGGAAGCGGCGGCCAGGCCCCCAAATGAACCTATGCTGGCGTCCAAGAAAAGCACGCTCTCGACTTCGATGGCTTCGCGAATCACGTTTGCTGCCTTGGAAAAGACGTGCTGAATGTGGACGCGGTGGATGTTTTCGCCGCTTGCCCCGGAGGTCACAGTCTTCACAGACATCTCGGAAACCGAAGGGGCGGCAATTGGCTCATTTGGGATGGCCGATTGTACTGGCGAAGATTGCCTTCTGGGTAGCGGCGAAGCCTGCGGGCGTATCGGTGGTGAAGCAGCGTCGGCCCCTGCAGCCTCTTCCAGCGCAAGTTCTTCCTCCTCTTTCTGCTGTAGCTGTTGTTGGTTCTGGTTCAGAACGCCCTCGAGAGACGGATTATCCTTGAACGAGTCTGCCGTTGGATTCATCCTCCAGCCGGACATTGTGGTCTTGCCCTCGACAAAGCTGCCCACGCCGCGAACCATTCTGTCCGAGCGACGAAGATTGTCCTTGTTGCTCTTTGTGTCCAGGTAATCCATGACGATGTGGGAAAGGTCCCGCAGGACGCGCGCCGACACATCGTCAAGTGACTCGCGAGGCGTATTGTCAAAGACACAAAAGACGCCAATGTTGATTCCTCTCTGCGTGCGGATAGGCACCCCGGCGTAGAAACGGTTCTGCGGCGCATGACGGCAAAACGGCCTCTGGGCCGCTCTGGGATCCGCCGCCATGTCCGAAATCACCGTCACCGGCAACTCCCCTTCCTTTGGAACATCTTCTGTCCCTGGCGATGGAGGGACGGCGAGGGCGATTTCGCATATGCCCGCGGACCGGGGAACGGCGGTGCCGCACAGAAAGAGCTGCTCCTCAACAGAGGCGTCTTGCGTGGCATTGGGGGTCAGGGCCAACGCTGGGGTCGCTTCGGCGACAATGTATTGATACTTGCTGTCGAATAGAGATATCAAGGCGCGGGTGGCATTCAGACGTAGGACACCTAGCTCGGCAAAAGCAGTCAGAGCTGCGTCGGGGGAGGATCGCAGCTCCGAGGGCGGGATGATGTTGTTGACATCGTTGTGGACGGCCTGGGCGATAAGGGAGGGGTCATATCTGTGAGGGCATTCAGCATTGTGGGCGGCGAACTGGAGGCAATGGGAGGCGCGCTTGCGCTGTGGAACAGAAAAGCCCCTCCCCGCCCTGGGAGGCAAACTCGACGGCCACTTGCAACCATGGCCGCTCTCGTCCAGCGCAATGATAATTAATGAATAGAGGCAACGAACCTGAAAGTCTCCCTTTCGCGGCGGCTCTCAGAGACGTTGCGAGCTGCCTGGAAGCTGGCCATGACGGGAGAGTGTGTGAAGCTCATCCACGTAGTGCACCAGCCTCAGAGAACGTGGTTGAGGGATAGCTGCGCTGCGCCGTGGCCAATGTTGCTGGGCTGGGGAGATCTGGAATACCAGTGCAAGGGGTGGAAGACAACGAGAAGGGAGGCCCACCCACAGCGGCGATTGTGCGAAAGGACTGCAGACGCACGGCGTGCTCGCTTGGAGCGGACCCTACTCCGAATGCGCTCCTTCTCAAGGGACGCAGGCTAGTCCAGCCCAGGCAGGCCTAGACCGTTCGATACTGCTTCACCTGTACCTTAGCCTGTGGCTCGAAGTAGTCAAAGGCGGCGGGGGTTGTGTTTGGGGTGGCTTGTACTGCATAGTACAGCTGATAGGGGACCAGCAGACATGCAGTGTAGAACGAGCGCATTTCGGGTGGCGATATTGGGGACGGAAATGGCGCGCAGCCGAGGCACGGAGGTACTCATCACCTTGTCTTTTTCCACAATGTGAGATGGGTCTGGGAGATACATGGGAAAGAGATACAGAACATTGGTAGATGTATTGCCGTCTGATTCGATGGTTTGGCGACGATTCGCCAGACGACAGGATGTCGTGCAAATCGACTGGATGAGCGTGTCCATGAGAAGCACGTCAAAAGGGAGGAATCCGTTGCACATGAGATTTGCCGACTTTTTTTTCTTTTCTTTTTTCCAGAGGCACGGTACTTTGGCTGAACCTTGCTTATTCGGGAACTACGCACCCAACCCTGCATTCGGGCCGTGTTAGGCCATGGTTAGGCCTACCGGTCGTAGGCACGGATGGGAATTTGTCACAAACGTCTCCCAAACCGACGGTCTTGGGGCTTGTTGCAGTATTCTGCGTGCTGGGCACTAAGGACAGGACTAAGCGCTTTGGTTGCGTTTGTCCGAAAATGCAGTGCATGTTGCTGATCATCGTTATAAATCTGCCATAGGCGACTCAAAAATATAGGTATATCAATTGTCCAATTTTCATGGCTGTTGAAAAATATCCATGTAGAGATATGACAACACAAAGACGACTGGGACTCAGCTGAGGGGCAGGAGAGCATGCGACTTGCAACATGCTACGACCCAGAGACGCGCGACAGTCTTTTGGGAAAACCCCGAGTCTGATTTTGCTGCCCCTTGTGAGATCCCGCTCTGAACGGTGCAGATCATCATCGCCAATAAACGAGCCCGAGTACAGATTGTCTCTGAATAACAAGATCTCGAGAGAGATAACGTCAGACGCAAATCATGTTTTTAACAGAGATCCAGATACAGAGCAAAAGACGCGGCAAAACCCCACCGTAAGTAACCATGGGCATTGGATGCCTGCACAAGGTGGTTTGGTCCCGAGTTCTCGACGAATCCAATTGCTTTGCGGACTTTACTCCACTGACGCCCCCTCAAGAATTCCAGTCTCCTCCGACGATACTAGCCATCCGGAAACCACTTTAAATAATGCCACTTACAAGAGTACGTGGAAAAACGGAGGAGACGAACCAACTTACATCATTGCGCCGGAGACGCTCGAGACGCTCCGGTCGCCCACTGCCAGGTGGATAGCCAATCAGCAGCCGGCGTCTGAGTCGGAAAAAGCCCCCGCCAATCATAGGCTGTATCCGGCCGGCGCCAATGACGTATCTCCTCTCGCGAAACGAGACCTGAATGGCCACTTCACGTGTTGGGGAGACCCTGGACCCACTCCCGCCAAGCGGCCAAAAGACCCCTGCCCCACTCCCCGTTCCAATGTTGGGTACCCTGCGCACAGCCTGTTTCCAGGAGTCTGCGTCCAACTGTCTTTCTCTTCATTTTCTCCAGTCTGCTCATTTTTCGCAATCAATGAATGGGCAAACTCTGGGGGATGGAAGAGAGAGGGAGGGGTATGTGCCGAAAGTCAGCCAATAATGCTCTTTCCGTCTTGGTGTGATTGCATTGTAGTGGCCCCTCTCCCCTCCCCCGTCACCCTGTTTGCCGTGCTTATGTGTGTGCTTGCTCGTGCTCGGCTCGTTGCTCGTTGCTCGTCTGTGTGCGTGGCGATTTACCTTATTAAAACCAGACTCTGCCCGTTGCGCGGTAAATCGGTTTTCCCATGCGTCTTCTCGATCTCGATTGCCCATCCTCCATCATCGAGGATCGATCGAAAAACGAAGACACCGGCCACCGCACAGCTGCAATCCGCATCCCCACTCCAGCAGACATTTCGATCAGGGACAGGCCCTTTGCCCATCCTTTGATGCATCCCATTTTCGAGATCGGCCTCTCTGACGGCATCGACTTTTCAAAATCCCCATCCCCGCAACAGCAGCAACGGCATCAATCTCATCTGGTCTCCGCTGACCCTGGGCGCCGCCCTCACCAGCGTACTGTTCGCCTTATGGCCTCCAGCCACCACTCCAGCCCGCTTCGCCCTACATCCCCGACGACTCATGAATTATCGACTCCGCGCAGGCGCCGGAGGTCGTCGCCCAAGGCGAAGCCGGTCGGGGGCCCCGGGGCTTTTGCCGGCAACGCTGGTGAGCAGAACACTGCTGAGGGCGAGAATTCTACCCGATTGTCCTTGAGACGCTTGAAGCAAGGCGAAAGCCATCAAAGGGTATGTTATTTTTCTCACCTCTGTCTGTTTCTGCTGCGGGTGTTTCGGCGATTCTTATCGGCTGTTATCGGCTGCATGCCCTGCCTTTTAGATGCAGTTAAAATTGCATACAGCCAAAAACGAAATAAAGAAAATAGGCCTCGTACCCTGCAGCAAAAAGAAACAGAGAAACAGTGCACGAACCAACTATCGCAGAACCACGCTGACACACACATCAACAGATTCACCATGGAGCCTCAGAACTGCTGCGTCTATCACAAAGCTTCCCCGGCTACCATGGTCAATCCGAGGGAGGCGGCTTCCACTCCGCGGCCGACCAAGCCCTCCCCAGCGACAGCGACCTGCACCACATGGCCCAGCTGTCCCACAACATCGCCAACAACATTTTCGACATCTTCGCGCTGAGGAAGGAAGACCGCGCAAGCAACCGGCGGCGGCATTCGCAGAGTGCCGTCCACGCGAACGCGATATCGCGTAAAGGCGACAAGGGCGGCGGCGAGGTCGGCGAGCTCTACTGCCACAAGTGCCGTCGCACCGATACCCCCCAGTGGCGGCTCGGCCCAGACGGGCCCATGACCTTGTGCAATGTGTGCGGCTTGATGTACGCGAAGAGACAGCAGAACCAGGACGATATGACCATGTCCGGTTCTTCCAGGATGAACAGGCGCCTGCGGGCGGATTGATTACTGTTGTGAATACCTCAGACTTTTTGTGAATGGGGGTTGCCAAGCGTAGCGCTGCTTTCTTTCGCCGGGAGTCTAATGTTCAGCGGGCAAGTCTTTTTCGCGGGAAATAATCATTTAATGGGACGCAGTAAAAAGAGATTTGGGAGTTATGGGAGTAAGGATTTGCAGTGTTGGAGGCCATCTTGAATATACCCAGCAAGACAGCGATTTGGTTGATTGTTCATCTCCTGTTATTTTATTTCTCTACGTATTTCTGGCACCTGTAAGATTTCGGTACTCACTCTTACATGCTATCGTAATGGTACTTGAGTATTGGAAATTTAAACACGACCTATGCGACTCCAGAACAAGGTTGATATCTATCAGGGGAAGGCATTCGCAATTGAGAGGGGCGGGACTTTGGCATCCTCTATCGTCAGTCCAAGCACCGGTTTCAAGCACACTCTCAGTCCTCGGTCCATGCTCCCAATCAAACGTAGACATCAGCGTAAGAACGTCCGGGGCCCTGGGCCACCGGCAGTTATCGTTGATTGATTGGATGGTTATGCAGCAAAACCCCCAGGAAACACGGTCCTTCCGTCCAACGGCGTCGGACGCAGAACTGTCAAGGGTTTGGTAAGCCCAAATGAACTTCAGCCTTCAGCCCATTGTCGCGCCCGCGGCACGTGGCTGGGGCAAACGCCAGAAGGGGGATCCTTTCCAAAACTCGAATGTTTCTCCAGCCCCAGAAAGCAAACAGAGTTGTCAAATGCGCAGCGGAAGAACGTGCAAAGATCTGCCACATAGTTACTGTTCAGGAATCTGCGGTTGGCGCGGTGGCGAGAAAAGGGGGGCGTGTGCGTGTTGCGGCGTGCCGCCGGCGTGTGGCGCGGCAGACGACCAGTGGAACGAACCTCAACAGCAAATCATCCCCTTTTGGTATTACAGTATATGGACGGTGTTCCAACGATTATCTGCCATACTCACGATCTCTGATAGTTGCGTATGGGCTTGATATCGTAATTGTTGTGCCATCGGAAGTGTGAGATAAAAGTCTTCCTGGGCGTGAGTGGAGTCCACTATGTCCCCTTCGCAAAGACAGTTGACCTTCGCACATCTGGGGGTCTCCCTAAGGATGTTCCGAGGATGCATGACAGTTGGGACAGAAGAAGAGTTGATAGTTGTTCAAAAACACTACAGAATATGCCGGGATCCTCTGTTGCCCGGTAAGCTTGAAGGCGAAGCAAGAAGCCGCTGTTGTGTCCGACACGATCCCCTCCATGAGACTCAGCCTGGATAACTCCGCAGTAGATAGCACACCTTGTCCCTACTCACTACTAGCAGTCAGTAACCGGGCCAGACAGGCCCAACTCCATCCCCCGAATCCCAATGTTGTCGTTGTTTGCACCGGATCCAACTTTCTCTGCTCCCCGAAGCTTCCGTCACGTGCGGCCCCCTACCGAAACCAGAAGTGGTAAGCGTTCCGATGTGCATATGACCCACCAACATCAACACCATGCGATTCAGTTACGTTCGAACGAGAAGAGTTTCTACTGGCTTCAAAATACCGTGTTGGACAAGATGCTACGTCCAAGATCCCTTCCCTGACCGGCCGGGAGTTGGTCTAACTCCGGCTAAGTCCATCATGTCACTTCACGGGGGCACCGAGGAAGACTCTGTTGGTTTGATCTTTGAAGAAAGTCGGCGACAATGCCATCGTTAAAAGGTGACGACGCGCCGAAAGAACTTGGCGAAGAGTCGTTCATACCTTGGCTCTATGTCCTCTAACTACCTACGTTCTCACAGCCAGAGACCCTACTCGACATAATACCCTTCCACACAAAGTCAACAACCCTCAACGGACACGATGAAAGCCCTCGTCCTCTCACCATCCAAACGATCGGTCTCCGTCAAAGATATTCCAATACCATCCCCCGGGCCTCGAGAGGTCCTCATCAGGGTCTGCGCCGTCGCCTTGAACCACGTCGATGCGGTGTATGTCAATAATCCCATAGCCACCCAAGACGACCGCGTCATCGGCAGCGACTTCTCAGGAGAGGTTGTAAAAGTCGGCGAGGGCCTTGACGTGGTCGATGACACGCGTGTACAGATTGGAGCTCGCGTAGCCGGGTTTGTCCAAGGAGGTTAGTCTTGCACCTCGTCGCTCCGTGTACACATCTCAAGTCGATCCCCCGTCGTCTCCTCGCCTCCGAAAATCACGCCCCAACCGCATCTTCCTTAGCTGTAGCAACCTAGAACCTGGTACAAACCCTCGCAGTGGCCTCCTCGTCCTTCGTCATCTTCATCGCCATCTAGATGTAACCTGGCGCATGTCCAATATCAGCTAACAACGGCCAACAACAGCCTGCTCCGTCAACCTCCGCCCGGGCGCTTTTGCGGAATACATCGTCATCGGCCACGACCTAACATGGCACATCCCAACGACAATGTCCTTCGAAAGCGCGGCGACAGTCAGCCTCTGCGGTCTGACGGCTGCCCAGGGCGTATTCGCCCGCCTGCAACTCCCTTGCCCCTTCTTCAACACAAGAGGCTTCTCAGGCCTCGGTCTCGCCGACGATGGCCCCATCAGCGTCTTCATATATGGCGCGACCTCTTCCCTCGGCCTGTACGCAGCGCAACTTGTCCGCGCGTCTGCAAAGACGTCTGGTTGCAGGATTCAGCTCATCGGCGCGGCGAGCGCGTCGAAGCATGCCATGCTGAAGCAGGAACCGTATGGCTACGATGTCCTGGTCGACTACGGGGATGCCGACTGGGTTGAGAAGGTGCGCGGCGCGGCTGGGGGAGGGGTGCAATACGCCATCGACGCCATATCCAGAAGTACCTCGGTTGAGCGAGTTGAACAAACGCTGGCGGAGGAGGGCCAGTTCGCAGCATTCCGGAGTCCTGCCCTGGGCGGGTTCGATATCTCCAAGATGAGGGTGAAGCCGCTGATCGGAGCTGTCTGGGAGGGGTTGGGGGTTGAGGTATTGTACCAAGGTAAGTTGACGTTGGACCTTCGGCTGACGGCCGACATGAGACATTGTCGCTAATTCAGGGTTTCTGATTCTAGGCGCTACTCTCCCCGCGAACCCCGAGGCGCGACGATTCACGGCCGAATTCTACAACCACATGGGCTCTGGAGCCTCTTCTGGGGTGATCAAGTTGCAGCCGAACCCTGTGCGTCTGATGTCGGGTGGTTTGGAGAGGATCGCCTCGGAGGGGTTTGCCTTGTTGACTGGTGCTGGAGAGGGACGGCCCGTTAGCGCCGAGAAGATTGTGTGCACCATAGTTTGAAGGAACCCGTCTTAGAGCACAAGTCAACATGATGTCTCCCTTTGTAATTTGTCAGAGAAGCATTATCGGACGGGGTGAAGATCACGGGGTGAAGATCAGGGTCGCTGGGAAGCTTAAGCGTGCCAAGTATATGAAGACAGATGCCAAGGATTAGACGGAAACTTCCCAAGATCACCTACACCAGGGAAAGGCTTGTATGCAACAAAGACTCCCCATGTCTGGGGAAACGGAAACAGAAGGGGTCAGCGAAGAAGGGAACAATCGCGAATTGTCATTGCTGGAACTTGTTGACTACAAGCGTTCGTGGCTTATGGTGTTCTGTTTATCTGTTGTAGCGTTGGTTTGTCCCTTCAACATACGGTAGTTGACAATGGTTGCGAAACGTGCATCCGAACTTCCAGGTTAAAGCTAGTATCCAAGTACCATCCTGTCAATACACTATACAAAGGCCTGAAGCTGGCTTACGCAGCTGAAATCTTGTGGCATCTCTGCTTGGAGTCTTTACATATCGTCATCATATTACCAATACGATGTGGCTGGAGCAAATAAAGGATATGTCCGCCGCCAGTGTTTCAAGCATACGACCATTCAGACACCAAATACTTTAAGGACTGATATAGGCCGGGACATATCGTTGTATTCTTACTCTCTCATCAGTCAGCCCTTATTAAAACCTTTCTTCAAGTCACAACTTCCAACTGTCAGAAATATTCATTAACCCGTCCAGCATGCTGTGGGCGAAAGCTAAGTCGACATTGCGCGAGCTTGAATTTACTTAGGTGACCGTGAGAATCGGGCTGGACTGGCATGATGTAACACAAAAGGAAAGGTCAATAAGATACCTCACACACAAAGTGCCGCTGACAGGTATTGGCTGCTGATCTGTCAGCCAGGCACGTCGAGCCAATCTCGCAGGTGATCTGTATGCAGGTCGGGTTAACATCTGGCCGCGGATGCCGTTGCACAAGCGCCCATTTCCCCATTGGGGGTCCGGATTAGGCAGCATCGCAATTTTCTGAATTTGACAGACGGCATCGACATTCCCATCGGGCGCCTTTGGTCGACCTTCTTTAGGCCTACCTAAGCAGCGAACGATGAATCAGCTCCAGCATCCGAGTACATCTGGACCAAATGAGCACGCTCTGCTTCTGGGTCCGCGTTTTCCTACCATTTCAGGAGTCACCACGACCCAGCCTTTCCCAAGTTCCAGCAATTTATCTAGTCTGTCTACGACTCTGGCATTGGGCGGGGACAGCAACCCCTACTCTCACTGGTATATCAATAGTGTCCAACAGCAGTTCGTTCCCCGCAAGCCTGCATACATGCCACCCGAAGACTAACCATCTAAATCCCAGATCATTCGATCCAGCGAAGAATGCGTACGATAAAGCGGTCGATATTCTGCGAAAGGAGCTTACAGCAGCCGAGTGTCAAGTAATATGGCTACAAAAGCAAAATTCAATTCAGGATGTCAGATCGGCTCTTGAAAAAGCTTTGGAGGAATACCAGAAGAAATCAAAGGCTTCAAAGGCTCGAGACTGGCTGGCAAAATGCTCGTCTCGAGTAATGTACTATGGAGGTTGGCTGAAGTTACTTTACACCGAGTTCTTCAGGAATGAAACTCATTACGAGACAGCTGTGTTTGACACGTTCTCGCAACATCATCCCGAATACGTATCCCTGGCCTGGGGTGCCTTCAAGTTTATATTCATTGTGAGTGTTCCTGGTCTTGGTACCTCCATCGGCTCTTGACTGACTTACCGAGGCGGTTCTCAACTACGAGGAGCTGCTTGTGGAGGTCTCAAAAGCTGTTTCTCGAATCGCCGACGTGCTGCCTCGGACCGAGCTCCACTCGCTACTCTATTCTACCCCACAAATGCAGGAGACCGTGGCTCAGCTCTATGCAAAAATCCTAGAATTCTCGATAATTGCTATCAGGTTCTATAAGAAAGGAAAATTGTCACATTCTATTGCCTCCATTGTCAAGCCCTTTAGCTTGACCTTCAAGCCAATCATTGAAGAAATCAGGGAGAGGTCAATACGTGTTGATGAGCTTGCTAGTGCGCTTTCTAAAGCCGAGATCAGAGACCTTCATGTGAAGGTCCATGGGCTCAGCCAGTCGGTAGCACAACTGACTGAAATGATGGTTTGTGAGTTGCCGCACAAACAACCCAAGGTCATAATATTTCCACAACGACTGATTCTGGCGCAGTGCAAAACCAGTCAATCCTATCTCTTCAAACGCAACACAAGCAAATGTTTCAAAGCACGCAAATAGATGCCATACGATCAGCGATACTGATCTCGGACACTCCAATCGCAGCCGATAGCCTGGACTGGTGTCGGTCTATGCGAAATCGTCGCCGGCAAAGGTCTGTTACTCAATTGCCTTTACTGGCGATATCTAGGCTCAAGCTCTGGGTCTCCAATTCAACTTCCTCTCTACTACTTGCAGAAGAGAGAGGTGTCACTACGAGTGCGGTCGATTTTGCCGCAGACTTTATCGACATCGTCCTTGAACACGAGTACCCAGTTGTTTGGGCTCTTCCATCAACTACCACCGTGTCCAAGGAGACAGCAGAGCCAGTGTCGGTGTCTGGAGTTCTTAGATCTCTCATATCCCAAATCATCACAGTTAACCCTGGCCTTGTAGTTGAAAGTGCTACCCCCCTTACAGCCCAGCATTTCAAGAGTCCCATGACGATTCAAAAATGGTTTAACGTCTTTGAACGATGTATTGCAAACTCTTCACGCTTGTTTGTCGTAATTGATATGAGCCTTATTGAAGCGGCTTTACAACATGAAGAGTCGGAGGCACAGTCCTTCAGTATGGACGAGTTCGTTGAGCAGATGGTGGTTATAGTGTCACGAAAGGTGTCTGGGGGCCTTAAGGTGGTTATCGCTTCATGGAGACTCGGCTCATTCACGAATCTAGACCCCGAGGAGGTTTTCAACGAGAATCGGATATATACAGACAGAGGGCGGCGCGTAGAGATGATGATGAAACAACCAAGGTTTCGAGCGACAGATCGACGGAAGCAACGACAAACTACAGCGAGATTTAGATCTAGCATGGCCTAACAGACCCAACGGACGTTTATATTTCAAGTTCGCGCATCAAGAGACACTTCAAATGACTAGAGCAGTTGCAGAACACAACCCAATCATACAGAGAATTAGGGCGCGGAATGTCAGGACAAGTTCGGTAGTACCGAACGGTGGCATCTAGGAGCCCGAATTGTGAGCCTTGCTGCGCCACACCAGGTTGAATGCGACGTGGGCGGCTTCCGCCCAATCATCAGAATGTTGATATGCAAGTGGTCTCGTGTATCTGTCACGTGTGTAAGATCGACTGATAACAGTTTGCCTGAGCGAGGCATCTGTCTGCCTCATCTGCTGCCGGTGTCAGCTTGAGTAGCCGTTTCGCGGGTTTTCGATTGTTCATCTGATCCGAGGACCATCGTCAGTGACACAAAGCTATCGAGCTATTATCGGATTATCACTCAATAATCCGATAGTCCCCTTTCTTATTTCTCATCCATCTTTGCGTTGCCTTTTGTCTAAATCCTCTGCAGCACAAGTGGACCCCGCACTCGTTGTCAGAATAAACATCAGCCTGTTCTCATCGCGACAGCAATGTAAAGGCCGACAACGGCTGTCCAGAACGATTGAGACACGGTATAAATAAGGGTATCCATCATGAGTAGGCGATACTCTCCCGGCCGGAGGGGTTCCGGCTCAGATACCGAAGACGCGATTTCGGAAGGAGAAACCGGCAGCAAACTCTTCATGAATTCAACAATTTCACGCGACGTCGATATCGCACAAGAAGAACAAGATTCACTTTCAAGCCTGAACGCAAAATTTGATTCTTCGGGTAAGCCTGATCAATTATCCATGAGAAAGGTCGTTGTCTGTTAACGAAGCAAAAAGCCCTGCGTTTGAGCAATCTGCATGAGCCCAACCAGCCGGGACCCCAACGGCATGACCTAGTGCCATTAACCTCCGCCAGAAGTATGTCCAGATCACCCCAGGGGTTCGCCTCTCGTTCAGGTACGCCATCTTCAGGTAAGATGCCACGGGTGACTCAGCCGCCGCCGCCGCCGCCGCCGCCTGTTCGGCTCCCTCCGGGGCCCAGGCCCCCCTCGGGAATTTATCCGGGTAGAAGACTGCCTCCTCCAAGACCCCCTCAAATAAGAGCAAAGAATACAAGACCTAGGCCCCTTCCGAGCTCACGCGGGCCTCAAACTTGGATGGAGCCGCCTCGCAGACAGAGTAGGCCACACGGGAGCTACTCAGAATTGAAGTCATCGAGGAGCTCCAAATGGCGAAGAAAATTGCAAGAAACCCGCGACCCGATTTCCAGCCACAGCCTCCAAGATTCAAGCGCAGAAAACACGTCTCAACCTATTGGGGATGACATTAGCAATGTTCCAGGAGATGGGGATGATGCAGGGGATCACTTAGTAACCACTCATCAGAAACCGGCCAAAGTAGATTCTCTCGCAGAATCGCTGAGCACGCTCGCAGAGCAACACCTCAAACTCGACGTTCTGGACGAATCCAAGAACGTTCCAAGTTTCATATCCTACCTTCTCGACACGATTCAGATGCTGGAAGCTGAAGTCAGCTACCAGAATGCTGACTCTGAGAGCAACGTCACCGAGAGTGACTATGACGAACAGAACGCCTCGAGCGTTCCAGCCGCTCCGTGCTTTCAAACTATCCATCGAATCTATTGCAGCAATCCAAGCCACAATCACAGCATGACGCTTTTCGAAGACGAACCGGTAGCCAAGACAAAGGCTGCATCTTCTTTCGCGATGAGACTTGAAGCCCGGGATGAGATAGAAAACTTGGATTCCTATTTATCCGAGCATCCAGAGTTCTGTTTCGTCGTCATCAGAGAACACACTTGTGTCAGAGATCAGGCTCGAGAGGTATCCCATCACCAATCCGACTCAACAGACCACAAACCATCACAGAGATCTGAACGATTGGCCATCGTATCACCGCTGCTCCGAAAAGGACTTGACCAAATTGCACAGTATACCCTCGAAGAAAGCCACTATATCGTGGAAGATGGAATGGGAATGGACGCTCCTTATCCTTTTCTCTTTCATCATAGAGAGAGGCTTGTCGAGCTTGCTGATGACAACACATACGGGCCAGTCCTGCTGCCTTTGATAGAGTTTTTGAATGAAAACTATACAGAGGAGTATGAAGAAGCAGTCAGAATGTTCGATAGGGGGGTCGTCAACGCCCGCCATCTGCAGAAGCTTTTTCAGCCGAACCAATTGGTCATTTTGAAGACCTCTGACGAATTCAATGTCTATGCGTTGGACGACTCCCCAGAGATTTCGAAGGAAGACGTATTATTCACGGGATGGTCGTATTTTTATGTTGAAGGCAGCTTACGACAAAGGATGTGGCGCGATACCATGAGTCCTGTTGGCAATGAAGACGTCAACATATCAAATCTCAAGGTCCATCCGGTCAGCTTCGGAAGAAAGGAAGACATTCAAAAATTGACATCAAGGGGCGAAGCCTTTTGGAGAATGAAAGGGCAATACTATGGGTGCTATACTGGCTGGGATCATCGGCACGACCATTGCTACGTATGTCTTCAAGTTCCAATTTACCTCGACGGAGATTCTCATGTGGTCTGCTGCTAAAACAACCAAGAACTCATCTCGATTCATGGTAGACCTAGCTACTCATCAGCTCATGCATCCGCCAAAAAAACCTGATTTTCACGTCCCGACCGAGCATCCAATCAACTATGCCTGGCCAAAGAAAATCAAGTGGGAGGACAAGATAACACCCGATACGATTCTGCTTCTTCCTTCGACCGTGCACGGTTTCAATCTTCAAGAGAAAAAATGGGGTATGAGTGACCTTGATAATGAAATATCCAAAAGTCCGAGTATTGGTATGCTGACGATTACTTAGTTGACCTAGACGTGGATAAATTCCATCCGGTCTCATGGAACAAAAACGCATTCAAGCGTCTGGTGCTTGAAGAGAAGACAAAGGAGATGATATATGCCCTCGTAGACATTCAAACAGCCACGAAAAGAATGGACGACATCATAACTGGGAAGGGGAACGGTCTCATAGTTCTTCTTCATGGCAGTCCTGGTACAGGGAAAACCCTGACAGCCGAGAGGTGAGACATGCACTTTTTGAAGCAAATTCAGTTCTTACTGAAGCTCTCCCAGTGTGGCAGAAATTGCAGAGAAGCCACTGTACCGTGTTACCTGCGGTGACATCGGTACTGAGGCTCAAGATGTTGAGAAGTATCTATCCACGGTTCTATACCTGGGAAAGCTATGGGACTGCGGTACGTACGCTATGACAATCATTCCTATGAATCATTTCTGATGCTTCATAGTTCTTTTGCTTGACGAAGCCGATGTCTTCTTGGAAGAAAGAACTTTTGCCGACTTGCAAAGAAACAGTTTGGTGTCAGGTAAGCGTAAAACCCCATGCTGATCATCCATCAGTTTACTTTCATGATGTCTAATTATGAAAGGGTAGTTTTTCTACGAGTGTTGGAATACTATGAGGGTATCCTCATCCTCACATCTAACCGCGTCGGCCACTTCGACGAAGCCTTCAAGTCGCGCATCCAGGTGGCAATCCATTATGATAATCTTTCCAAAAGATCACGCAAAGCCATCTGGCAAAACTTCCTCGAAATGATTGAGGATTCTGTAGATGAAGATGCGAACATCGCCGAGCTTGAAGCTCATTTGGATCAGCTAGCCTCGGAGGAGATGAACGGCAGGCAAATCCGTAATGCCTTACTCACAGCAAGGCAATTGGCCAAGCACCGGAAGGAACGGTTGGAATGGGAGCACTTGGATCAAGTAATGAAGACTTCGGCGGCTTTCAACAAGTATCTGAAGACGGTTCGTGGACAGAGTGACGATAAGCTAGCACGAGACGAGGGGCGGCGATGAAGTCGAAGCAACATGCAAGGCGGGGACTTTTGGTTTTCTTCTCCTTCACTCTTTGGATTTTGTGAAAGATAAACGGCGTCCAATTCAATGCTATTTATCAGGGAAAATAGACCAAACAATTACATCAGACTTGGAGTTCTTCCCTAGCCCAATGACATCAATCATACGTAGAGTACACATCTGCCTAGGCGGTACAACCCCTACCAGCTGAGGGATCAAAACCACGCAATATTACTGCAGCATTAATTGAAAAGAACCAAGAAAGCGGTGGTGTTTACTATTCGGCGAGTTGTGAATCTTTGTGATACAAGGCCAGCTTTCCAACGACAGCCACCTAGCCGTAAGCAAGACACCCCCGACATCTCATATGTCCAAGCCACCAAGTTCCACAAGAGCCCTTAAGTGCTGACAATGTTGGAGCGCCACACGGCTTGGGTCGGGTGATTGATTGGGACGCTTCCAAACAATCTGTGTTTTGGACACCGTCCAATCGCCATGGAGTTGGCTGACGACAGTCAAGGGGCAGACTCGCAAGTCAGTATACTCACGCACTGGAACGTTGTGTATATGATCCCTGAGGACTTCACTGGTGTTCGGAAATTGGGGAGTGGAGGCTACACAGTCAAGAAACAAGTCCGCTCCTTGTCTGGCTCTCTGGTGCTGTTATGTTATTGAAGAAATGATAAACGGACCTAAGCCAATTGACATGGGAGCAAACTGAGTCCCGGGCCCCTCTTGCTTCACGGCAAATCCCATATTTCATCACGGGGTGCTTCAAGCAATTATCTCGTCCTGGCTTCGAAGTTCACGAGTTCCGCGTCTCATCTTTCTCTCGTCAGTTTTCTGGTCATGCGCATCGATTATGTTGTATGATGACTTGCAAGAACTACATGGTAAAATCCGGTTTCAGTTCCTCACACTTACCCGCTCACCATACCCACACCGCGCCCATCACGCCCTAGCATCAATGTTGCGAGCAAACTGGATATCAGCAACCGTATCCCCAACCACCACCACCACCGTGGACGCATGGACGACCGCATCAACCAGCCCAGCCTCACGCATCTCCGGCACCGGCACGTCCATAAAACTCCCAAAATCAGGCTTCCTGGTCGCACCGGGCGTCTCATCACCCAAAATCAGGTCCTCGAGCACATAGCCATCAAGGCCATTATTCCGCAGCGCCGCGCGGACGGCCTGCACGGCCTTGTTGCTAACGTTAGCGACGGGGATCTTACGCTGTCGCAAGCTCGACAGGACCTGGTCGGCGCCGGGGAAGGCCCGGATGAGCGACTGGCTAAGCTCTTGGGCGTACAGCCGGCGGTACTCGGGGATCCAGTGGTCCTGGCCGAGGGCGGCGGGTGAGGGATGCAGCGCGTGGAATGTGTCTGCGAGGCCGGCGCCGCTGGAGATTAGTCTGCGGACATCGACGAGGACGGGTGGCGGAGTAATGAGGCGAAGGTGAGCATTATTATTTCTTCGATGGAGGCGTGAGTGTCGAAGAGCGTGCCATCGAAATCGAAAACCACAAGGTTGGTGGTGGTCATGGTGTTTGGGATGTTTGGTGAGCTGATGATGTGGTGGAAGTTCTACAGTCACGACCTGAGGCCAGCAAATCTTTTAGTGCACGAGACATACAGGTCTGCCACCATTGCTTACGCCACCTGCAGCTCTAATCAATATCAACGCCCAAAGTTGATACTGTCCGCTGCAGATCGGCCACAATAGTAGCGACGAGTCCTTATAGAAACATCATGAGGACCCTTACAAAGCAGCCGCGAGGAAGGAACCCTGGCAGTTCGAACCCTCTGCTGTACACCTAGCGAAACAACTCCGTATTCAACAAAGGAACGCACGAGTTATCGGACTTTATCCAAACAGCCTCGAGCATAGACATAATTCAGCCAAGTGGACCGCAGCTTCCAGAGGATGTTCTCCCCGCCTCATCATTGGCTCGCTCGCATTCCAGTAGTGTAGTCCGAGCACACGGCCAGCTGCATTATTTGACTCTTGCCTCAAGAGACGAGGAAAGTCTTCGGAATAAGACGGCCTTCAGTATGGGACTCGGACTGGAGATGTGGGTTTCACGCGGCTTGATGTTTGGGAGTCGGGAAGACGGAGGAAAACACGGGACCACTCCGAGACCCATGGGGCAAAACCCATGCCGGCCCGGACCCGACTGCAGTCCTACGTTGGGAAATGTCCGCAGAGATCGTGGCCGGCCCATATTCTCGGAACCGACCGCTTACACGCCGCCAAAGCCCTCCTTCTACCAAAGTCCCTGAACCCACCGCACGGCAGGCCAGGCACCCATCTCACAAACAGCCACAACTCAAACGGCTCTCCCAAGAAACACCAGCCCCAATCAAGCACTTCTTAATGCAGGAGACCCAATTGGCCAAGTCCCCTGTCTACAGGATTGTGGACCCGAAAGCGCCCAAGCAGTGACGCCGCGCTACCCTTAACCTCTTGGACAGATTGAGACAAGGGGCAGACGGCGCGTAGGTCTAAACCGCAGTCGTCAAAAAGAAAGGATTCAGCGCTAAATTCTGACGTAAAACGCCCCCAAATAAGGGTTTAATCTTCTTTTTGGGATGAGCAATCCGAGTCTCTGGGCGGGATGAACGAGGAGGGGAAATCTGCCGTTCGTCGGGTATATGTCATGCAGCCGTCCGCAAACCCCCTCTTCTGTTGAGATAGCATCCGCAGTCCTGTATTTTCCGAAAGGGTTCAGTCATCCCATCTCCGGAATTCATCCCATTTCACGGAAACGCATACGAGTCGAGACAGCTGAATCATGGCCAGCGCAGCCCCCGCCGTGATTGGAGAGCTGGCGGGGAACGGGACGGCCAAGGCGGGCAGCTTCCTCGCGTTCCTCGCGGAGGACGTGCAGAGGTCGCCGGTGCTGTATTCGACGTTCGCCGCGCTCCTGGCGCTTCTGGTGCTGGTGAACAGGCTGTCGTCGCCTGCGGTGGAGGAGCGGGAGCCGCCGCTGATGAAGCCCACGATCCCCGTCATTGGGCACTTGGTTGGGATGATCAAGCACGAAAGTCATTATTTCAAGTTTCTTGAGTAAGTTTCGCAACGGATTTGGGGTGGGATGGACGCGATTGAGAGATCTGGAGCTGACGTGGTGTGTTTTAGACCGAGGGGCTTCCGGATCGCGACGCTGCCTATCCTGGGCGGGAAGGTGTACGGCGTGTGGTGTCCTATGCTGGGACAGGCTGTGCATCGCAACAAGGACCTCTCTTTCGAGCCGTTCGCTCTCGAGTTTGCGCAGCGAGAGCTGGGGTTCGATAACGATACGCTCAAGATTCTCCGTGATTCGACGCTGATGCCCGAGTTCTTTGACGGGATCCACGCGGGGATGACGCCGACGAACGTGCGACGCATGAATGCGAATGCGTTGAGATACGTGGCCAAGGTGCTGGAAGAGATTCCGGCTGGGGAGGCGTTTGAGACCACCAACTTTTTCCTGTGGGTTAGGGATTTGATGACGCTGGCGACGGCCGAGGCGCTGTATGGACCTGCGAACCCGCTCGCGAAGGATTCCAGCTTGATGGAAGAGGTTTGGTAAGTTCACCTGCCGGCATGTCTCATTTGACTGTACTGACACCGCGAAGGGCATTCGATGCTGGCTTAGGTCTCCTCATGCTGGGCGTCTTTCCGTCCATCATTGCGAAGAGATGTTACCAGGCCCGCGCCAAACTGCAGGCGGTGCTGAGCGACTACTACGGAGCTAGAGAGGACGATCATGAGGAAGCGGCCCAGATTGTGAAGAACCGAGCAAATGTTTTGCGAAAACACGGTATCTCAGATAGGGAAGTCGGCACGTTCGAAATTGCTCTCCTCCACGTGGGCACGTCCAACACGATACCGACTCTGTTTTGGTTCGTTGCTCATGTCTTCACCAACGCTGAGCTGGTAGCCAAGCTTCGAGAAGAAGTGGCAGCGGTTGCCACGCACGGAGCCGACGGCGAGGTGACCATCGACATCGGTGCGATTGATGAAAAGTGCCCGTTGCTTGTGAGCTGCTACCGCGAGTCCATTCGGTTGTCGAACAAGGGCATGGGGCATCGCCGTGTGATGAAGGACACGACCATCTCCGACGGCAGGGGCAACACCTACCTGTTGAAGGAAGGCTGCAACATCCAGCTGTCGCATGAGGTCTCGCATAGCTTGGAGAGGGTCTGGGGATCAAACTACGACAAATTCGTGGCAGACAGGTTCGTAGACAAGAAGGCTGAAGGAGACATCATGATGGAGAAGGTCAAGAAAGCTGCGTTCATTCCCTTTGGTGGTGGAAGGCACCTGTGCCCGGGACGCAACTTTGCGTTTGCTGAAAACCTGGGGTTCGTGGCTTCGCTGGTGTTGGGCTTTGATGTGACGACGCTGGACGAGAACAAGAAGGCAACGACTGCGGCCCCAAAAATGGACCGATGTCCGATGACGGCTGCGGCAGCCCGGCCGATCAACAATGGCGAGGGTTTCGGTGCCCGCGTCGCGAGCCGGGAGGGGTGGGAGAGGGTCAAATGGCAATACACCAGCTGAGGGGTGTGAGGGTCCGCGTTGCCGAGCCGTAGAAATAATTTCGCCCATCGATTCTGATTTGTTCAGAGGAGTGCTTCTCTTGGCACCCAAGCATGATGATGCAGCTGTACGACTGACGTTGGTGATGATGACAGGCGGCTCTCAATGGCCCCAGTCACGGAGGGGCTAGTCGCATGTCGCAGGCCTCTGATCAGCGCTTATTGACGTCCGGCATTCGGAATGTGGAAGAGCAACCGATGGCGACGTGTTGCTGCGGCCGGGAATCGACGGAGATTGGGCGGTGATGAGTGATGATGCTGAAAGTGCTGGGAATCAAGCTTGAAGCCCACAGAACGAGACCAGGGTGGAGCTCATCGGAGCTGGAGCTGGAGCTGAAGCTCCTCTGGACTGGCTCAGCCACAGCCACACGTGACAGCCACCGACATTGACGTCATGGCGGCGTCGTGCTA